TCGCCTCGACTCTGTGGTATTTTAGTTATCCACTTTAGATGCTTAGAAAAGCACTACGTTTTATTTTGTGTCACTATTGTTGGTTGAGATACACTACTCGTGTAACTGTATTTAAATAGGGAAAATGTGGAGGTGTTTGTAGCTAAGTGCTATCAAAGTTTCGCCGCAAGACAGAGTGATTTAGAGCACGCACTGAGACGAGAGAGGTTTGTATCAACTTGTCTTAGTTAAGGGAATAACATGGTTTAAAGTAGCACTATGCAGGATTTCCGTTTTTGTTAAACTGTGACCCCTAGAGTCACTGTGGAGTACTTGTACTGTCGTAAATAGCACTCACGCAGAGATCTCTCTGCACTCACGGCCTGATCCCCTCCCCCTGTATAACGGTACCTGTTCAGTAGGATGGCCCCTTTAAGAGTTGCGCCCCGTTGAACTGTCGGCAGTCTGTATACTGTAGTATGCGCCTTGAACACCACATGTATCCGCGCCGGGTTATTTCTGTTTGCTGCTCATTTTAGCAGATCCTTCTTGTCGTAAAGCAATTCGTTACATCGCGAGACCTGAAATCACGCAACACTTTCTGATGCTGCGGCCTGCCGGCTCAAAGTTGCAAGTGTGTTTTTTCCGCTCACAGGCAACAGGGGGGGAGGGGCAAGGCGCCCAACATTCAACCCGAAAATAGTTATTTAACCATTGCAATAACTCCGAAGCTATAGCCTGAAAAAACCCAGACAACTTCCGGCAAATTTAGATTTGCTCTGAAAGTTAGTCTGGCAAAGAGCTCATTCAAACCCATTTCCAGTCTGCAGAAATCGCGGCACCAATCAGAAACGTTGGGGCGGGCTTTACACGATGACGACAGTGCTGGGATTTTGAAGCAGATTTTGTAGCCTACTGTACATTACAAAGAAGGATGCCGCCGTCGAACATCACTCGCTTGAATCAGCTATCGCATCTGTTTTAAAGCGATTTGAACGTTTCCTTTTTGTTAAAAACCGAGCAAAGAACAACACTCAGAGATGTTTCTCCGCCGCTCTGCAAACGTCATCACCTTCATCGCTCTGATTGGTTTTAGGTCTACCCGCGACATCTGCTGGTGACTCCCCTCTGGAAATGATTTGTCTATGACGCTTTGCCAGACCATAACTCTGTTACAACTGACAATGGTCTGCTCGTTTTAACCAGGCTACCGAAGCTATTCAGTTAAGGTAAAAAAAAAAAAAAAACTGCATAGTGCTGCTTTAATATGAAAAATCAGTGGAGTATCCCTTTAAGCTGACAACAAACTGTAAAGACTACTGAAATACTAAATTCAAATATGAAAATAAATACACAAAAGATGTATTTGAAAATACTGTTTAAAAACCTAAACGATGTTGTTACATAACTCACTTTCATTCAGTATTTCACATTAGCTGGACTGGCTGTAAGATAAACCTATGTTTAAGAGGCAGCGTAACATACAAAAGGTATGTTTTTCTATTTAACTAAATTTTTCATAGAAAAGAGAAAAAAGCCTTTTTGTTGAGTTACCGGGTACACCTTTATTTATCTTTTGTTCTTTTACCACCACTTCCACCAAATGGATAAAAAAATTCTTCCTTGACATTGGTCAGTTTTTCTTAAGTTCATAATGTAAATAGATTTACGAAAAGAATTACAGTAGCGACCATTTTCCCACAATCCTTTGCGGCTTACAGTAATTTACTGTATACACATTTTGCGTACAGTATCTTATTGTAAATATTACAGTAAAATACTATTCCAATTACAAAAATTGTTTACAGTGTATTACAATTTACAGTGATTAGCCATGTTGATTTAACCTCAGGAAATCATACATATACAGTAAAAATGATATAGATAAGCCATTTTATTTTCTCTTCACTTTATATGAGGTTTGCAATTTTAGTGGTTTGCTAGAGGTTAGCAAATTTGGAAAATGTCTAAATATAGTTCAATCAATAAACATTGATATTGTTTAGCTTGGAAGTTTTGTATGAAACTTCAAACCATGGAGTAAAGGTAAATAACCATATGAAGGCCTACTGTATGTCACTGACAGAAAAAATTGACAATTATATTCGAAACCAAAAATCCAAAGCAATATGTAAAAGTTATGTGATCTTTATCAAAAAAGGTGTTGTTTTCTTCACAGACACTGAAGCAGCATGGCTTCATTCTTGTGATAGAGTAATAAACTACTAAATTTACTGTTGTGATTGAAAAACAAATTGTAAGTGTATCTGATGTTAACACAAGCACTAAATTTAGCTAACGCTGGCACTGTGATGCCACTCTAAAGTAGCATAAAGTCTGTGCTTGTCAAAGTTTGGTATTCCATGTTCAACTAAAACTAGAAAAAAAGACCAGAATGTTGATCAATTTAAAATGTAATATATAATTTAAATTAGAATTAGAATCATTTATATATGCATCAAGAATACTTGCTCCCCCACTTTTTTCATTAAAAAAAAAAAAAACTTTACTGTTGAACAGAGTTAGTGAAATTATTTGTATTATTTACCTATTAATCTTGCACAACCTATTGTTTTGGAATTATTTTGCTATATATCTGACCAAGTATTTTTTCTTTTTTTTTCTCAGAGGAAGGAATGTTATATGCAGATACATGGAAAACTTGGGTCTGGATATTGTCTGTCTTCATCATGCAGTATTACAATCATGCACGCAGGGTTTGGTAACTTTCTTAAAGCAAACAACAGTTCATATCACATACCGTCCAGCTGACTGATTGCAACAGCTCCACTGTTGTTTTCTCTTAGGTGCACCAACTACTGAGTTCAACAGAGAGTGAATGACAGGAACAGTGCCATTGTCTGTCAGACTTTAGCATAAGCAAGTTAGTGCTGATCTGTCTGAGCTGCTTATAGTGCGCTACACTCTCACTGTCGCTTTATGCTGTACAAATCAATTTGTCTCCACTGATGGAAAATAATTGCAAAGCAAACAAATTATCTCTGCCACATTGAGCACACCTCACCGCCGGGAGAGAGAGAAACAAGAAAGAAGGCTAGAGAGCTCTTTTACATGGATGCATAGGCCTAAACCACGGATTCCACGCTGACATGTTCCAACTGAAGCTGCATTGTTTATGTACTGTGCCTCCAATTATACAGTGGGGAAAAGAATCTGGGAAAGAGGTTGAGCTGCACGTCAAACGGATGGGAAAATAAAAAAGGTGAAAGAGGTTCATCTTAAATTGGAGACATTAAATTGGAAAAATTTTGCTATGCAGTATGCTAAAGATGATATATTAAAAAATAGTCACTTGTTGTCAGAGTAATTTTGCTATCAAAATACAGTACTCAACTGCTTTGATCTTGTGCCTGTTAAAACAGTAAAATTCTGCAGAATCAAAACAATTTGTTTTTAAATCAAAGATATTTACTAAAACTTTTTATTAACTAGAACAAGGGTTTATGTGAGGGGAAAGTCATATGATGAATTTTTTAAAAGCCCAATTTAACCACAAATCTTTAAAACCGTAAGAACCGTTAAAAGAAGTAGGCCAAAGCAACAAAGATGTGCATGTACCAAATCTTGAGTTGCGCATTTTCTAAGCCCACCCGTGCAAAATATAGCAAAAATAGGTGGAATAAAATCTTACCGGCTGTTCAGAAAGTTGCAGGGTGTTTCTAAGTTGTGAATGTGGCTTTGTTTTGGTCTGATGGCAATAATTCAGAGGTAAAGTACACAGTCTATGTAGTCCTGAGGGTTTGTTAGCAGACTATAACTAAAAACCACTGAAGATGTAATGGCTGCAAGAAAGACATGCATGCAGAACTTGACAAGGCCGTGTGAAAAGGCACTTACAGCGGCGCCTTTGCTGTGATACTTTGACCCCACTCTGCTTATTCTTCAGGCTAATGTGTCAAAATGATTTGCTGCAATAAAGACAACCTGTGTGATATGCATCCGGGGCACTTACAGAAGCGAGTTATGATGTTTGCTGCATGTAAATTCCATCAGCATGTGAATGCAATCGTATTACAGGCCATTAGAGACTTTCTTTACAAAGCCACTGGGACAGACACCTGCTGAACTGTAAAGAATACGGCTGCAGCTGCGGTGTTGTGACATCAATTGTAGTTTACCATAGGCTATGCTGACAGCAAATTATATTGCCTTATACTGTGCTCTCAACATGTCTTATTTGGTGTTCAGAATATAGGTGCAATGACACTGAGATAATATAGCCTACTGTATGGGTGCATTACTACATCTTTAAATTGAATGTGACACTGGATTAACCCCTGCCACTAGTTCATTTATGGGTCAATTGTAAAGCGGTTTAAAGGCAAATGGAGTGTTGTTGTGTTAAATCTGAGCAAACATTGCTGAGACGGAGACAAATTTCCTTAGATTTCCTCTTGGATTTTACACAACAACCAAGTTCAAGAGCAAACTCTTTCTCAAAAGAAATTTAAGCAACATAAATAAATATCTTCTTAGTAATAATAGTACGGTGACATGATGATGTGTTCTATCTATCTGAATACTCTGTTCTGTCAAAATTCTAATATATTTATTATTTATTTTCTATTTCAATTGTTAAAAAAACGGATTTCAGTAACCAAAATTAATTTAAATCAAAACTAGTGTGTTGCCTACTCCCTAAAGTTAGCTAGATAGAGCTGATTCGTCATTATATTGACTTTGTTGCCATCTAGTGGCTCAAGAAAGCCCTGTAGCCTCCTAAATGCATAAAGCATTTTTACCAAGATTTTGCATATATTACTAAACCTTTATAAAAAGGTTGACAATAAGCGAAAAAGAATATTATAACAGAATAACACTATGCTGTACCCTACATCAATGTTTTAATGGTATTCCTTGACTTGCACAATTTACAATGAATGGTTTGAAAAATTTAAATGTATACTCACCATCATTTTTTAGTATGACTATGCCTTTAAGGAACTCTCTTTTTATCAGCTTAGACATAAGTCTTATAGAATGAAAAAGATAGTCAGAAATTGCACAGAAGGTTGTTTTTATTTATCTTGCACACCTGATGTTCAGTCCATGTCCATTTATTTTATTTTTATGGCTAATTAAAAAAGTAATACTTTTTGAACATTTTAATGACAGCCTCAAAAGGTCATGCACTGAACATCCTTAATGTGCTTGAAAAAGGTGAATATATGCCCTGATAACAGATAACACACTGCAAAAGCCACAGCAATGAATACATTTACTATATGCAATGCTATCCATCCCATGTCTAGCTGCCAAACTTTATCAGAATAAGCTGTTTATAGCTGCATTTAGGGAATTTGATCTAGCGCTGAACAAAAAATCAAAGAGAAAATAAAAGCAAAATAATACTTCCTCTTAGTTTTACAGGTGAATTCTGTTACGACACCAGTCTGATATACACTAACTGGTCAAGAGTTTGGAATAATTAAGGTATTTTTTAAATGTTTTTGAATAAAAAAAAAAACAAATAAAAATCGTATGCTCACCAAGGCTGCGTTTATCTTTATATGTCTTCACTGTCAAATAAATAATCATTATAACATCTTGATTTGGTGCTCAAGAAACATTTCTTATTATTATCAAAGTTTTTGATGCATCAAGTTTCATGGAAATCCTGAAAATATATCATGGTTTCCACAAAAAAAAAAAATGTTTCCAACATTGATAATAATAATAACCATTATTAATAACTAAGTACCATAACAAATCAGCAAATTTGAATCATTCATAAAGGATCATGTGACAATAAATGCAAAATAAAATAAATGTAGCCTTAGTGAGCATAAGAGATTTCTTTCAAAAACATTTTAAAAAAAAAATGTTTTATCCAAAATAATTATCCAAAGTTTGACTTTATAATAAGATAGGCAATTTATCAGAGAAGCAATGCTTCACTATTCCCAGTTAGCTGCTCATCTATAGCATGTGGTTAATGCCACCATCGTCGTGATGGCTTGGGTGCAAAAAGTTAGGGATCAGGTTGCTCTCCAGGGGTGTCCTGAGGGTCCCTATTAATTCCTCAGGAGCCAGGTAGGCGCAGATATGCCTAACTGGCTAAAATAAGCCCACCACCAGGGCTTCTCAGTTCTCTCCTCCCCGTTCTCTCCCAGCTCCCGCTGGCTATACTGCTCAAACTGATTAAAGGGGTCAAAACGCTCATAATTGTCTAGCTCAGGGATGTTAAAGTAGTCAAGAGAGGGTTCTCGTGGGGCTTTCTTCAGCACAAAGTCCACTCTGCCCACCTGTATGTTCTTTGGCAGGTTAATGCGCTTAGATATTTTGGAGTAGCCAGTGGCAGCTGCCGTCACAATGTGAAGACCTGGATTCAACAATCTCCAGTAATCACCATCCTCAGCTGTAGAGAGAGACAGAGGCTACATCAGCACTCATTTACAACTGCATTATTCGGGTCAATGCAAAGGAACGCACGAGGTTTGTAAGTTTGCATTAGGACTTTACAATAAATTGTTACCTGTAGTGATATCATGTCGCATCCCCCTAATAGAGATTGTTGCTCCTTTGATGCCATTTCCATGTTCATCCTTTACAATGCCCTTTATACCTCTGTGAACCTGCAAGTAACAGCTCAGAATGATGATCTGGTGCCATATAGCCATTTAAAATAATCCTTTCTCTCAAATATAGATACTAGTGTAGTTAGACGAGATCAGGGCCTATAGCCTCATATATTTCATAGTTTTTCTAAGTGTTCCAGGCCTTGTTCTTTCTTTTCTGTGTGCACTGCAACAATTAAGAAGACATTTAAATAATTGAAACAATTTTTACCTCAAAACAAGGTATCAAAACAGTCATCCTCTCTTATGAGATTGGACTAGTCCAGTGTGTTTCCGCATTTTGGGGCAATGTTCATTCATTTAATTTGTTAGATACTGTTAAAAATGTTTGAGAAAGTTGAGGAATATAAAAAAATGAAGGATAAATTATACAATAAAAACATTTCCTAACATTGATTTAACAATCACATTAAGGAATAAGGTGAAAAAAAGGACATTCTTCTTTAAGACGAATACAGTCAGAGTTATACTAAAAATCTCATAGTTATTGTAAATATGACATGGCTTTAGTAGGAAATACTTTTTAGCAAACTTTTAGTCATGATGGTGTCGACTTGTATTGTTCCCAGATGGAAGAATTCAAAAAGTTATGAAAGTTCAAACCCTTATCAGGAGTGAGTTACTTTCGGTTTCCAGTGAATGATCTGAATAAAGGAAACTGTGAATGATTAAAGAAATCGTAAATATGAAGAGAACACTAGAAATCTTAAAAAACACAATATTTCATACTGGAATGACTCCCATTATAAATGGCTTGCTCTTTTTGCTCATGGATAGGTATGGCTACATATTTAACTTAATTAAGCCTCAAAGACACAATGATTCTTCTATAAGGAAAGCATTTACCTCCAGCAAAGCTATACCACAGTGCTCCATTGGTTATCCCTCCTTTATTGGCAAATGAGGCTCCACATCTCTCTGTGTCATTGTTGGACATAGTGGCATGGGAATCTGCATATATCCTAGCCAACTGCCTAAAGATCTACACACAGGAAATGACTTTGTTATGCAAAATAAGTTTGTGCAGGAGCTTCGTCTGCAACAGTCGGAGGAGCATTCATTTACTCACTTGTTCATCTGGTGTGGGTGAGTGCATCCTTTCTTCTTGGGGGTGTTTAGAGAAGTCAAAGGGGTATGAGACCACCAGTTCTCCTCCATGCAGACTGGCAGATATAACAAAAGGATAGGATCTTATCCACTTCATTACAGCATATGTCTCTGGTGCAACTACCTAAAAATAAATAAATAAAAAGAAATTAACACAAGATATCCAAAATTTCAAAGTTCCCTATCGGTCAGTCACTACAACTTAGGTCATGACTGACCAATAGGAATCTTGCTAGAGAGGCCAATTTACTTTGAGTGAAACTTAACAAGCCACTGCACATTGGCAATCATTTGCATCAGCTGTGCAGCCTCGCAGCGCGGGTATTTAATAAGCAGCTGTTGTGATTTGCACACTAGCTTTTTGCTTTGGAGCCAAGACACTTTGATGCCTCTGCTGAGAGTGAAATGTAATTTCAACAAGGCTTTCTGGACCTCTCCTTTTCGGTGCGGGCGTGACAGCACGGCAGCGTGAGCAGTTTCTCTTTCTTTCTCTCTCTGTCTTTCTCTCTGAGCAAAACAAAAAGCTGTTCTAACAGCTGGTAAGATCCAGCGAGAGAGATTCAGGGCACGCACGGGTGCACATTCCCGTCTGTGACCACTGTAACTGTTCCCCTGCATGCTTCAGCACCAATGAGAGTAGTCCCTAAAAGAGCTTACACAGATAGTTTGCGTCTTTTTAAAGATGGCGTTCTATCTGTGTGTTTCTGGATGCGGTCGTTACCTGGGTTCACAGGATGGTCACAAACGTTGTGTGGTGTGTCTAGGCCTCGGATGAGTCATGCACCCATTGCGGGAAGATGACCATCTCAGAGCTGCGGTCGATACTCTCATTCCTGCAAGGGCGTGCCGGCGCCCCGTTCCAATCCTCCAGCGAGGGTTGCTTCGGTTGCTGACCTGAGGATTACGGTGAGCGCGCTTCCCTCTCATGTAGGGCTGTCGCGGTTATGGAATTTCCCTTGCGGTAATGTTGAGTGGCTCAATAGCGCGATATGCGGTATTACCGCCATTTATTTATTTAGGCTATTTAATTAATTATATGTTTTTGTTGCTATATAAATAATGTTTACGATGTGGACAAAAACGAGGACATTTTCAGTAGGCTAACCAATGTAACCGAAACTAAACAGCGTCTACAGTATATGCGCATTGAAAGACTTTCACTCAGCGCCGCATATTGTTATGACAACGGACTTTGAGCGAGTCATTGAACCGTTCATTCAACGAACACGTTTAAAAAAGCTGATTCAACAAAATTATATTTATTTTTAACTTTGAGATTCAACTTTTCAAGGCTCAGCTGAGCAGCAATGCGTCGCATAGGCAATGCTGAAGCTGATGCTTCACTTATTAGAGACCCATTGATTCAATGCGTGACTCACTGATTTTATTTCGGCTTCCTTGTGTTGTGGAATGCTGACCAGAGCTGCTGCTGACGCGGATTTATGGGAAAATACCCGTGAAGAGAACGTTAAAATGATGATGCGACAAATTTTTCGCTTCCCTTTGACACGACAAGCTTTTCACGACTTCAAAGACAGACGCAGGTAATTGCACGCGCAGCGCGTGACGCGCTCTGCCGATCTCTTTCATTCACTGTCTGTGTGAAGCCTGTAAGCTACACAACACCATGATAAACAGTCTTGTTATCGTTATAAACTTGTTTAACATTCAATACCCATGCATTAAGTTCAAAACAAGAAGGGTATAGCCTTATAAAAAAAAAACGTGAATATCGCGGTTGCTGCGGTTACGTGCTATCCTCTGCGGTTGACTTGTCAGAAGCGCGGTACTACAATATTGCGGTTACCGCGACAGCCCTACTCTCATGTTCCCCAACCATTTGAGCTGCCAACAAATCACGCTGGACAATCCTCAAGGTTTGTATCAGTCGTTTCCTTTGGCGTTCCCCGCGAGGACCAGATGTCGATTGCGGCATCGGAGGGTGGGTCAGATATCTCTGCGGACGACGTGTCGCAACGGCTGCCTCCGATGGATGATTGCCATGCTTTCCCGGGCCGCCAAGAGGGTCGGGCTCGTGTGGAACCCTCCACTGTGTCCCGAACCCTCGAGGTTGGATGATTGGTATCTCGGGGTGGCGCGTGCTGGTGCAACCCACCCCAGTGCCCTTCTTCCCGAAAGTGCATGGGGTGGTTCCTAATCCCTCACCTCCCTTGACGGCAGGGCAGCTAAGGGATACACGCATATCCTGGCGTCGTGGTCAGCTGCTGCCTCCACCCCACTGCCTGTGGCTCCTCAGTATACTGATCGCCGGGGGCACCCTCCTGCGTCTGCCCCTGCTCCCGCACCGCAGCAGCAGCCTCCATCGAAATGGCGCCGTGGAGCCGGTCGCAAGCATCTTGATTCCCAGAACTGATTCTCCTTGTGACAGTCCCTCCCTGGCCCATTCCTCTGAGGAAGGATCTTCTGACTCAGAGATGGGGCACCCTATGGCACCCGTGTCCAGACCTCTGGAAACTCCATGTCTGGTCCCTGGACGGGACGCAGAGGTTTTAGGTGACTTACCCCTGGAGGTACTTAAAGGGACACTTCACCCAGTCATATTTTTGAATGGTCATGGTTTATTCCCTTATTTTCCCCTGAGATAGGAAAAATAAGGATTTAAATGTTTTACTTCCTGTTTATTATGACGTAAAAAATCGTCATTTTGCATCATAATAAGCAGGAAGTCACATTTCATTGAAATCTGCAGAGACCACAAACATTAGCTCATTATTATTCAAGGGTGTGGGACCCACTCACCCTACAGGCCTATTACAGATCAGTGGATGGGACTTCACTTGCAGAAACTGAAATCAATATCCGCCATCTTGTTTTTGGAAGCTAAGCTAACAAGCGCTGTAGAGATAGGAAGTATGACAATGACAGAAGAAACTAAACATGATATGGAAGAAGAGGATTTTGAAAGTCTGCTGCTCGAATCCGATGTTTGTGGCTATCCTTACGAGCCGCAATACAGTGAAGAACAGCTGAGGCTGATGGAGGAGCAGGAGGTGGCTGCTTGTGTTCTTCTCGCCAGGAGGACCCCCAAAGATATTCGATAGGGTCTGTGCTTTCCTTCTTGCAGCAATGGTTGGAGCGAAGACTGTCTCCCTCCACCCTCAAAGTTCATGCTGCCACTATTTCAGCTTATCACGACCACATAGATGGCAAAACAGTTGGAAAGCACAACCTGGTCGTGAGGTTTCTTAAGGGGGCGAGACGATTAAATTCTCCTCAACCCCCCTCCATACCTTCTTGGGATCTTTCCCTGGTGCTCCGAGCACTTCAGGACATTCCCTTTGAGCCTCTGCAATCAGTAGACTTAAAGCTTCTTTTGCTACTGGTTGCATTGTCCTCTGTCAAGAGGGTAGGAGACCTGCATGCATTTTCGGGCAGCGAATTGTGCCTAGAGTTCGGGCCAGGTGACAACCATGTGGTATTAAGACCCCGGCCTGGCTATGTGCCCAAGGTTCCTAACACTCCCTTCAAAGACCAGGAAGTGAACCTGCAAGCGCTGCCCTTGGAGGAGCCAGATCCAGCCCTGGCTTTGCTCTGTCCCATTCGCGCTCTACTTATGTACATGGACAGAACTCAAAGCATCAGGAACTCAGACCAGCTCTTTGTCTGTTACGGAGGCCAGCAGAAGGGAAAGGCTGTCTCCAAGCAGAGGATGGCCAACTGGATAGTGGACGCCATCGCCATTGCCTTAACTTGCCAAGCTCAAGGCGTGCCATGAGGCGCAGGTTGCATGCACACTCCAAGAGAGGTGTTGCATCCTCCTGGGCGCTGGCTCGTGGCACCTCGCTAACAGATATCTGTAGAGCTGCGGGCTGGGCAACACCTAACACGTTCGCTAGATACTTTAGCCTACGTGTGGAGCCAGTCTCCTCCCGTGTTCTCACCCTAAACGGGTAGAAGCACTGAGAGGCCCGGCTCTGTCAGCTTGCTGCACCCTACTGTGCATCCCTATTTCTCCAGAGTGAAAAACTTGTAGAGTCCTCCTAAACCCCTCGGCCCAGACATGGCGGAGCGTCAGGAGCTAGGCCCCTGTCCGCTGAATCCTTGAGAGCTGGACCCGGGCTGGGTTCCATATGTGCGACCCTTCGGGGATCCCATATGTGCATATGTTCCATGGTTACTCCTAAGACGGAAGCCCGTGTCTTTCCTTTGGGCTAAGTCACCCATTTTTCATATGCAGTACAGCCTTCGGGTTAGTTCATATGTATTTTCACATAACTCTTTGAAGAAAGTGGCTTTCGCAGCATTCCCCTCCCTTAGAAAGGTGCACGCTTTCCCAGTGTTATCCAAGGTCTCACTGTGTGGCAAGAGGGTGCAGAGGCTTGCATCGGGCGCTGGATCGGCTGCAGCGGCTGTGGCGCTTTGGTAGGGATTCTTATTGGTCAGTCATGACCTACGTTGTAGTGACTGACCGATAGGGAACGTCCCGGTTACACATAGTAACCCTCTTTCCCTGAGGAAGGGAACGGAGACGTAAGTCCTGTCGCTACATCTGCTGCCGCCCGTAGGGGCGGCGAGATTACTCAGGCTTGGCTCCTCAGCAAAAAACTAGTGTGCAAATCACAACAGCTGCTCATTAAATACCCGCACTGCGAGGCTGCACAGCTGATGCAAATGATTTCACGCCAATGTGTATTGGCTTGTTTTAGTTTCACTCAAAGTAAATTGGCCTCTCTAGCGAGATACCTATTGGTCAGTCATGACCTACGTCTCAGGGAACGAGGGTTACTAGAAGTTTCTCTATGCTCACCACAAAACCATATTCTGTGATTTTCACTTCATAGTTTCACTGTATGAACAAGTTATTTTCACTATATTGAACATTACTATAATACAGTACATTTATATGAAAGTAACTATATATATATATATATATATATATATATATATATATATATATCAGTTAAAAGATATACAAAGGTTATTCAAATATTCAAACGTATTTTTTAATCAAATGTATTTTTGTTATATGACTGTACATTTGATAGAGATGGGAATGCATTCACTTCTACCTTATTTAGCCAGTAAGATTCAGGGATGGGGATGTGGTCACTACGGAAATGTCTGAAGCGACGCCGATTGTAAAAGATGGAGGTGAGGTCAGGGAAGTTGCGGTTGAGATCGAGATTCTGTGCGTTGGCCCGACCACTGGTCCATCCATTGTACTCATGACCCTAAATGTTACAAATCCCACCAGTCATCAAAAAATCATGGACAAATTTTTAACAGTTTCAAAGAGACACTAAATACGCAAATTTGTAATACTCTTTTCCAAGTTACATGTAAGATATTTGCTACACATCAAACTAAATTACCAGTTAAGGAGTTAAACAATTTAACACATTTGGATGGATCGGTAAGTCAAAATGAAACTCAGACATTAAGAAAGAGGCGAAGGGTTAAAGACTGTAGTAAACAGTGAATGAAAATGTATAAAAAGACAGAAAACATCAGAACCAGGCAAAGGTACGTCAGTTAGTGTTAAATTAATAGACCAACATGGTTTTATCATCTTATTTAAGATTCAATTCATCGTCCTACAATTGTTTCCAACACAACACATTAAATTCTTCAACATAACCCGTGGTGATCAGTAAAGAGATTTAGATGAATCTACTATTAGTTTAACAAGCTATTGTTAAAATACTACTGTTATATGACAAAGAAAATGCGGGCAATTGTCTATTAGAGTGGTTAGTCAAGGCCTCCCTCTACCAGTTGTCATTTTCAGTTCATAGCTGAAGCACAAGACCAATTTTTGCTGTGGTTTTTATTCCCTAAGAAGTGATAAACTGTGCCAACTTTAAAATACAATTATTCCACACTAACATGGACTTCCTCCAAGGCCTGGCCTGTTCTGGAGGACACTCTCTGGTGCAGGGAGCTTGGCAGGGTCAGTCAGCCGACAGACAGACAGGCAGACAGACTCAGACAACAAAATATTTACTTCCTGGTAGATGTTTTCGGGGTCGTTCCTATCGGCTACCTCAGAAGCGGCAATCTCGTAGCCGTCAGGATTCATGGAGGGCAGGATATGGATGCGTGTGGTGTTGATGAGGGTCTGAATTCGCTCATTGCCCAGCAGATACTCAGAGCACAGATACTGAGCCAGGTATATCAGCAGCTGTCGACCGAGAACCTCGTTTCCATGCATGTTTCCAATTAATTTGATCTCAGGCTCCACTAGATGGCAGTGAAGAGACAAATGGGAACAGGAATTTAATCAAAGAATAATTCAGAATAGTATTCTAGAATTGCACTCTTGCTGTTGTATAGGCTGTTATTGCTGCTGAATAGCAAGTACGGGACTTGCTTCTGCTGTGATGTGAGCAAATAAGACATGCTGCTGCTGTACAATATAGAATACAGGAATTACCTGTAGCAGATCTGTGGATGTGGACCCGTAGTGGATGTGGAAGCTACACTGTGTGATTTTTTACCCCCATCTAGTGGTGAAAAGGTATCTGACCATCCAGTGAATATTAGTTTATGTTCCTCTCAATTCCGATTTCGTTTTAACTCCTACGGTGGCCAATGTAGTCCAAGATTAACATGGCTTCCAGTTCGACCTCGTCCATGAGTGTTAACTCAAACGTAAACGCGAAAGGCGAAGCTTGAATTAACGGGTATGTCCCTCTTTGGCTAATGTACTTTCAAGATGGAGGGGCAACATGGCGACCGACATTAGAACCCCTTACCCGTATGTATTTTCAATGGCATATTATACACTCACGATAATACTTTATTACTTGAAATAAGTAATTTTAGCTATAAGTGTTTTTTAATAAGTGTTTTTAGCTAAGAATAAACTAAAAGAGTTACACAGTGTAGATTTAAGCACTTATCAGCGGGTGCCATCTAGATTTTCATGACATAACTTTTCATGACATCCTTGCTGAATAAAAGTATAAAAAAAATAATTAACTGTTGTCTACCTCATACTCACATAGGTCATGTTGCCCAGGGTTATTAGAGAATTCAATAACCAGCAAGTCTTTTCCTTCCACACTGCGTCCAATGCTGTACGTATTTGAGATATGCGAGCATTTAGCTGCAGTCTTCTTCAGGATGCTGAACATCTGAGAGTTAGAGTGGTAAGTGAACTGAAGGATAGTGGAAAGACCACCATCAGATATGTTGGCAAAGGCCACATCCTGCTTTTCTGAGGGGAAAAAGTATGGGTTTTTTTAATACATATAAATTCTTAATAAATTAGCCTACTTTTTAAAGGGTTGTTCACCCAAAAATGAAAATTCAGTCATCATTAAATCACCCTCAAATTGTTCCAAACTTGTATGAATTCCTTTCCTCTGCTGAACACAAAACAAGATATTCTGAAGAAAGTCATTAACCAAACAGTTGATGGGCCCCAGTTGATATTCCACAGTATTTGGTTTCTATATACAATGTAAGGCAATGGGGCCCATCAATTGTTTGGTTACTGACATTCTTCAGAATATCTTCTTTTGTTTTCAGCAGAGAAAAGAAAACCATACAGGTTTGGAACAACTTGAGGGTGAGTAAAGGATGACGAATTTTAATTTTGGGGTGAACAACCGTTTTAATACTGTTTAATTAATATATTTCACTTTAATCACTCCAAAATTCTAACCTCTTAACTCTGACAATGGGTCATGACAACTCTCCTCACTGCTGACAAAGAATCGGTCGCAGTCCAGAAAATAAGGCCATGCCATTTGGATGGCCTCAAAGGCATGGATACAGTTTTTTTTCACCATCTCACACGAGCTGCGACACGGCTTCATAAGTCTGCCGTCTTGACAACGTGGAGCCAACACTGAGCAGCCCAGCAGACGGATGTCTGGAGAGCACTCACCATTCAGCAGCCCGTGGATCACGCTCAAGAGAAGGTACTCTGCACCCATCTCTAATTCCTGTCGTGACCGGTGGCCCACAATGTTAGGGAATGTGGTGTGGCTGTAGGGCACATCCTGACAGTAACCAAGCACCATTTCTATGCACTGCGCTAGAGACGGGAGAGAAAGGATTTTAATTTAGAATAAGTTTGAGGTGCATACCGGCAGATGAAAAATGTGTTGCAGGTGGTGTAGCACTATTTTTAATTTAATATGGAAACTAAAGTGTATTGTATCGTTACAAGTTCTTGAAATGGAACAGTTATCTGCAGTGGAATGTTTTAATACTAGATTTTGAAGGGAGGACCTCATAAATCAAATATATGGAAGTTTCGAGAAAGAAATTCATGGCTGCTTCGCTTATTCAGTCTATTAGTAGCAGTTTAGTAATAAATACCTTCTTACAATGACAGTATGTGAAACCCATCATGACAAGACAGTAATGCTTGTTAAGTAGGCTATATCAGATTAATTATTTGTTCTTATTTAAGGAAATTTCACCTTATAAGCTATCTCACAACCTTTACTAAATCACCCTGAGGCCTTTAAAGGCATATAATGTCTTTCCCTTTCTTCACTGACGTAGACATGCCCCATCTTGCAGTGATGTTTGGTATTCCGAGTACTTTTCCCCCCTATACCTTACGTGAAACAAATTTCAGAACACCATTAAACATGATATAGGTACATGCAGTGGAATAAAAGGAGTATACTTACGCCTCTCTTCTGTAGGTGTTCTGCATCTTCCTAAAAAACAATTCATCACAGAGGATGTAACAGCTGACTTCAGTGCAAAGCTAGTCTCTGAAGGCTAGATGGCAGTAGAGTATACAGTGGAAAAAAAGACATCTTTCTGCAGTAATATTGCATGACAATTTCAAACCTACGCACACGTAAATGCAAAAAGTTATTTGCCCACTAAACTTTTATACTGCCAGTCAAAAGTTTGTTCACACCCTCTCATTCTTTATTTACACATTTTAAATTTATAGTACATTTTTACTAATGCTTTTGCTTTTTTACACTAATATGCTTTTTTCCCTTTACTAATAAAACAGACCATTTAAAAACGTTAATTGAAAACAATTATTTATTAATAATAGTGTTATATATGACAATTAATAAGTATAGGCTATACAAAATAATAATAAAAATAAAAACAAGTAAGACCATGATATACTAATTCAAAAGAACATTCAGACTAGTAGTGTAACCTTAGTTATATTGCCTACTCGTTTCCAGTTTCCCCTCACAAAAAATGACTGTTAACTCTAGCCTACTAAGCAACACTGAATGAATCTATAAGGTTACCTATTGCTGCTTCTTCCGGTTCACATCGTCGTGGGACGCTCAAGCATGTCGCCAGTGAGCTTATAAACAATAAAACCGTAAGCATTTTGTTGTCCATAAACTGAATGATGTGGCATTCGCAACGACGTACAAAGTTGATCATCTTCCGAAAAGTCTAGCTACCCCCATGACTTAAAGGAGAGCCTGCACGAGCACCGCTGCCAAATGATCAAATTACAGCAAAAAAAAAAAAAAAAAGGTTATCCAGCGGTAGGCGGGCGCTCTTCTGCTGTGTCCCACTGTAATTACAGTTCTTTCAGAAAGCCTGACTTCACATTTACCCTTTTTGTGGTATGGACTTGTTTCAAAATCAGTGTTAAAGAAAAGGGGGAAAATACTTGTCTTTTCATTTTCAAGAAATTGACTGTAATCCCTGTGTGTGGTAAAATCACTTGCCTGGATAGGATTCAGAAAGGCGAATCCACCTGGCTAAATAAAGACCCACACTTATTTGTTTTAGACCAAAATCTAAGACAGTCTACAAATGAAGGAACTTAAGACCTGCAAAAAGCTGCATAGGCTACTAGTCCAGAGCTGATGTGGAGCTCTTGGAAGTAAAAAATAAATAAATAAGCCTACATTTATAATTGGTAGACCGATACATACAGTATAAGTAGGCTATGCTACCACAAAATATATATCTTTTGTTCTTGCTTGTTGTTAGTATGTCATAGGTCAAATTAAAGGACAAAGGATGTATGGGAATGTATACACACCTGCACATTTCTTTATGACTTTAACTTGAATTTCTGAACATGTAAAACTCTATAACTTAATGTGTTGAATTCCATTGTGTTTTTTCATTTTTATTTGTTCACCAATACAGTAATTCTAAATTGCGTAATCTTCTTGAAATAACTCCCTGTAAGCTGCATATGTCTTGTTATGATTGATGTTTCAAAATGTTTCTTTTTCCTGTGACTTGTCAACTGTAATTTACTTCTAAAAGACACAAAACTTCGACCAGAAAAATAACAAAACCAAAGTGATGATAGCAGTCCAGTAAGGCAACAAAAGAATTATTAGAACATTAAATCAAACAGAAACAGACAACAACACATTTTCACCTTTCAAGACAACACTGGAGTGACTTCAGGACACATTTGAATAGCCTTGTGGCCCTGCTAGAGACTGCACTTAGCAGAAAAGGTTCTAAATATTTAATTACATGAGAGATTTAAGTTTATGTTATGATATTAAGTTTAATGTAGGATATTGTGAGGTAAAATGTGGCAAAAAAGTAAAGTTTACCCAAATAAATATGATATGTCATGATATGGCAACATATATATCTATACTCTTCTACTATAATTATTTTTATTTCAGAATATACATTATAATTCACATTATAGGACTATGTTGTGAATAAAGAGTCAAAAATCCCAGATGAGTGTGCAAATGGTCTGATTTCCAGTGATAGGCAAAGTTTGTGGCCTCCCAAGGTTTCAAAAGACTAAGAAATTATACAGTGTGAGCCATTACTTCAGAAATTATAGGCAGTTTGGTTTGACATTTTCACCTGCTCAAGTGACAGTGTCCTTCAACTTGTTAACCCTTTGTGAGCAGCATTCATTTTCCATGTCTGAGGGGCTGCTGTGTCCAGACAGTGTGTATGAGTCCCGGCCCAAAATCCTGTTACACAATTCAAAAAGGGCCTTCTTATATTGTTGCCGTAAGAGAGAGTAGACGAAAGGGTCAGAGGCAGCTTTGCTGTACACCAAGCACTTACTTATGATCCCCCAATAACGGTTGACTGTTACCGAAGGAGTCAGTTCAGTCAGTCTGAGAAAAGACATATATTAGACTATTATAGCCTAGAAATATTCAATATGGCACTGTTTTGAGGAAATTATGCTGGAAACTATTTACAATAAAGTGGTGTTTTCTAGTGTGCAAGTAGGATTATTACAGGGGTTGACTTAATCATATTACATAACAGGGCCCGCATGCAAAACAAAATCCTTTTTGTTGAGCAATAAAAGAGTAAATGTTCAATACATTATAGAAAGACATCACAAATAAACCTACTGAGAAATATTGACTGGAGTAAAAAATTGTGACAACTAGCCCCGGCCTCCCCTTGATGTTTTGCATAGGCCGGTATAAGTATTAGGCAATCTGTTACGGTTATCAAAAGTATGTGCGCATTTTAAAATGTATTATCATAAAGCAATACCGTGTTATGACATAGGGGGCGAAGCACAGGACGAACGACCCGATGAATATGCAGATTTTCTTCGTGGCCCTCCGTCTCCTTTTCTTCTGTTCCAGTAAGCACCGTTGTTTCACACTAAGAAGTTTCAAAAAATACGTCACGAATACACATGTTTATAATATGTAACAGTAACTGTTGCTATTGTTTTAAATGTACCTTGGGTGAATGTCGACAAGTAGCATGAGTGTCTGCACCGTTATAACGTCTATCCTCTTACAATGGAAGCGAGCAACTTGTAGTACTTTCGTGTAGGTAAAGCATAGGATGAAAAGAGAGAGGGCGAAAGTACATGCGTGGAACACTGTGGTGAACACTATGAAGTGCCCACGGCTCCCATCATCGTCCCTCAGGTGCACAGTGCATGATGCGTACGCGGGACTATAGTCGACCCACGACAGCAGGACAGCAGCCAGCGAGAATGCAAACGAGTGAATCCAGGCATAACTGACCATCAGCGCGGCATTCTTGAGTCTCATTTTGCTGGAATAAGTCAAAGGAAAAACCACGGCAATCCAGCGGTCTATGCTGAGAGCTGCCATGCTCAACATTGTGTTGGTAGTCAGAAAAGTATCCATGAAACTCACCGTTTGGCAAAAGTGATCGCCAAACGGCTTTTGACGTTTTAAGACCCCAAATAGTGTAGAAGGCATGTTGAGAACGGTGATGAGGATGTTGCAGAAAGAGAGGTTGATGATGAAGATCCCTGGCATCTGCGCACGAACTTGTGCGCTGCAGGTGAAACATACTAACACTAGCAAGTTTGCCACGAGTGACACAACTGCAATTACAACGATGAGTAACTCCAGAAATATTTCCAATAAGTTCATGTCTCTTTCTAAAGTAAGTAACTGCTGATTTGTTGCGGTGTTTTGTCCGTGATTTCCCAGTGGGTCCTCGTTGGCTCATATTTGCTGCTTTCCATTCTGCTTTGGGAAAAATGAACGGTCACTGGCGACGAGTGCTGTCCAGTGTGCTGAAGTAATCTCTGAATGACTTGATTACCATCACATACTTTAAGCTTAATCCTGTTGTCCACATTGACTAAGTCAAAACGATATTTGTTTGAACTTGTATTAGAGACCGCAAAACAACACGTTGGAAAGGTGAATTGAGAGCGCGCAGTCGGAGCGCGTGCTCATGCGCATTGGAATTCTTCTTTGAGCGTTCCGGCTCACGTGCAGACAGTTTATTGCATGTGACGTTTGCTTGATAAACATGCAGTTCGGCCAGCGGGAAAGAAGGAAGAGATGGATCATTTTAAGCCTAAGGAAGCTGTAAACTATGTTCAAATATAAAATAGGCTAATTCATGCAGTAGCCTAAGTTTGAGGTCTGTATTGTAAAATAAAAAAGGTTTATCAGAAAAATCAGAAGCTTGATTAGGTGGAAGTAGAAATACATTTACTCGTGAATTATAGGCTATTCACAGCAGCACAAAACTGTGAGGATTCTTAACAGGCTTAAAATGAAAATCAGGAATTAAAACAAAATGGAAATAGAGTTGAAGTTAGCCATTGATCAGTGAATAATTGAAATATAATTTCTAGATTCCATATTTGACTCACTTAAAATGTACATAGGTGCACAATATTTTCCATTTTGTTCTGCATTTCTTTCTTTCTTGGGAGAACAAATGTGAAATGTGTTTCTTTCACACATGCAAACACAAAATTGCTCAGCAAGTAAAGCAGGGCTATAATTCCTCATCACTATGGCAACTTGTAAAGCATGTGAACATTTTCCATCATTTGAAGGTTTTTTGTTTTGTTTTTTTAAACACTGAGGACAATTTGTGAAACATGTTGGTCAGGGGTAGTATTTTGATGTGCGTACAGTGGGGCTAAAGACCCCTTAAGGATTTTCCTTCTGGTTGAAAATGTATGATGAAAATAAAAGCCAGATGCCACTTAACTAAACTCCAAATCAAATAAACAAAATACTGGCAGTGCTAGGTTTACAAATGGCTCTTACTAAATACTCAAAAGGCTAATCTGAATAAAATCCTACTTCATTTTCCCTGCAGTTTGGTTAAACTACCTGTATTATTACATAAGATAAATTCAACTTCTGTCTATTATTTATGATGATTTCAGCCAAGAGTCCTCTGCAGTCAGAGCAGGTAAGACGACAAGCATGCAGTGCAGGTTAAATAGACTGTGTATAAAAACTGCAAGTATCACCAACAGAATGTGTTCATCACCTCATTTACAAATAGCTTTAGTAACACAACATGGTGTCATGGCAGTATGCATTGCATTATATTATATACTATAAGAAATAAAAAGTCTCAGCTGTGATTCAATTTGCAGATTCGCAAATCTCTGACAGCGCTTCAACGGTTCACTATCATGCATTGAGATAAGTGTTCTCTCATTATGTTTAGCTAGCTCTGCTCAGTGCTCATGGTCTTGCTGGAAAACCTCTTTAGAGTGCTGAGGAAGTGTCCTGTGGTAAAGAAGGAAACCTCTTTGTGTCCACATGCCCCTGAGAGGATGTTACATAAGAAAGTGCTGATGAGAGAATCACTTAAGATGTCAACATTCAGGGTATACCTACCTCTCTTTCACTCTCTCAATACTGTATATTTAGAGTGGGACATTACATAACAGGATGTCTAGAGTTCAGGATGAATTTTTGCTGTGCATTTGGAGGTGTACTCACATCCACAAGGACACCTCTAGCCCTCTTTTGTGCATAAAGTAGGCAACAACTACACGTTTCACAAACACATTTGATTTCCTATCATACTGGGCAATTTACATTGACTGCTACTGTTTTTATACTGAAACAATTATATATTTTACTCCCTACACACCTCGTAGAAAAAATCTTTGAATTTACATTAAGAAATATATTGTTTAATGATGTGTTTTGGCGAATGGTGGTGACTACCCACAACCCAGGCTCATTGGAAAAACGGGCCAGTGATGTCATTTCTGCAAAAATGACATTACGTTGCTAATCACCTTCAAAGTGTAATGAACATTGAGTGTCACTAAATGCGTGTTCAGTTTTATCCAAAACAGTTGAGCGTGAATCTGGCAACGTTTTATTACGTGGCAGTTCGGAAAGGAAATGTCTGGAGTTGTGCTAAATGGTTAATGCTCTATCGCATTCAAAAATAATGTAGCCTACCACCTTGTACACTAAACATAGCTGAAAGTGTTAACAAAAGCAAACGTCATATAAAAACTTATGGCGCTTTTCCATTACCATTACTAGTGCCAGCTCGACTCGACTCGACTCGCCTCGGCTCGACTCGCTTTTCGCTCCGTTTTCCAATGCAGACAGTACCGCCACAAATAGTCACCGGTCATCAGCTACGCCTTTCATTCCTCGTTGCCCCATCAAGCTCTCGCTGGAGAGCCCGATCTCATGAAAGTTCGTATCTATAGCACGAATGTCATTTCTCGTGGCATTTATACGCCAAAAACAGTTTTTGCGTGTATATGGTACACGTTTTTCGCATGCATATGATATGCAGTTTTTGCCGTATAATACGCACAAACTCCCCACCTCCCTCCCCCCTAAACCTACCCCAGGGTTTTTTAGTGCGTAGCGTAAGCACGCAAAAACCATTTTTGGCGTAATGCCACGAGAGATTACATTCGTGGTATAGATACGCATCTTCATGAGACTGTGTTGCACTGGATCCTCTTTTCGGCAACCAAACAAAGGAAAGTCTGCACCTCCTCGTTTGACCATGGCATATTTTTCGGAGTTGCCATAATAATAGTAGTAAGTTTAGTAGCTATCTCCGACCAAACTATTTAAAAATGGCGAGGTTATTCTGGATACTCCATCTGGCACGTGCAATGATGACGCAGTGAATGGTGATGATTCTCTCTGACCAATCAGCAGTCGGCATTGTTTTAGGTCACATTTTAGTATCCCCTCAGCTCACCTGAGCCAAAGTCCTTTTAGGCAAGTCATGCCACTCGGCTGCCATCTTGGCAACGCCTCCGGGTAGCTATTTCGGACTAACAAGACAACGCTCCTATCTAAATGAATGGGCAGAGACTCAGAACTGCAACAGGCTTAAATGTTTCCCGGCTTGACTGTTAAAAGCAGACGATTGGCTTTCCAGTGGGAGGGGCGGGGCATGTGCATACAACCGCAGGTTTTCCCTCTATAGTTGTATTAAGGATTGAGGAAGTGGCATGTCTCTATATAAATAGTCTCTGCCTTAGCTCGCTCAGAACCTCGCTGGAGGTGATACAACAAGTACCCGAAAGCAGGTACAGGTACAACTTTTACACAGTGGAAAACCAAACAAAGGCGAGCCGAGCTGGTACTGTGTAGTGGAAAAGCGGCATTATATTGGGACTCGTCATACATCAAAAATGTATTAGTTTACAAATGATGGTAAAAGTGTTTTGAAGTCACAACATAGTGTTGTAAAGGAAGTGCGAGACAAAAAATTTATTAACCAATAATCTGCACCTGTAATCATAATTGTGTGTAAAAAGCAATACATTGGTTGCAGTTTCACTAGTGTTCAGCTGGAAACTGAAGTGATTTGTATGTATTGGGTGCTTGTTTTGAGTTTTTCCAATGAGCATGTGTTGCGACTTCAGGATTTACTATTTCCTTGTGGCATAGATTAAAAAAGCTTACACACACCAAATTGTCATATATATTGTCAACAAAATTTACGAACCTACATTTGACCCGATTCAGGATCACATCTGCCACTATATTAAAGTCGTTATCAAATTGAGCAGCCTACAGCGTCATACAATCAACAGACTGTTTGCAGAATAGTTCATATAACCAAAGTAAACAATGACTTTCAGTATTACACCCCTATATTAAACAAAGGCATGATAGGGGCACAATAGTTATCAACAAGGTTTAATTTTCTTTACGCAGTAAAAAACAAGTAATGTAAATATACATGCAAACACTTATAAGAGAAGAACAGGAGTATAAGAGGAAGAGAAGAAGCCACTGGTGGTTCTGCTGTATTGTTCCAGTTATATTAATTTGATAAGACAGGTTGACCCTCCACTGCCTGCAGCTTCCCTGCACCACAGGCACACACACAGCAGGCTGGCTAGCATTTGAAATAGATCAAAATCTTTCCATCCCCATAGATGTAAAATAATGTATATTTTCAGTTATGATTCTGCCGTAACATTTATTTTTCCCATGACAAACAAATGAAATTGTGTATGGTGAACTGTGTAAATGCCTTTAGTGTATATAAATAATTTAAAATGGATATTGTGATGCAAACAGTGTATATTTGCAAACTGTGGAATGACCTACAGTATGACCCTATTGTTAATACCGTAAAACTTAAAATAATAGCTGATTCCCAAATAGACTCCGGTCTCTTTTATACGTTTGGTGTGACTGCAGGTTTGGGTAAATAAAAGCCGGTCTCAAATAGAGGCCGGGTCTGTTTTTTAGTTTCGGGTTGTTAATCTTCTAAAACCGTCAGATAAGCAAATTTTTGTCCCGCCAAAGCCTATTTTGATCGGCTAGTGATGTAGAATAGAATGACTGCTACACTCTCACATTTTCAAGCAACACGAGTGCTGTCTTGCGCTCTCTCCCTCGCGCATATTAATTAAATCAATCAGTTAATGTTAATCAACATTAACTAATTGATCAACAAAAATCAACAAAGTTAATCAATTCAACTTTTACTATCAATGATAGTAAAAGGATGGAAGACCGCAGTTTCACGTGGACCATTTGGAGATTTTTAGAGATTATAGACTCAATGAACAACATCTCAACACTAAATTATAAAGGCCGATCTCATATAGACGCCCGTTCTCAAATACAAGCCGGTGCAGTTCGACGATTTGGGAAAATAAAAGCCCTGGCTATTATTTGAAGTTTTACGATACTACAGCAGTGGACATAAAAAGTTTACACATCCCTGTTAATACACTTTTTTTTTTTTTTTTTTAAATGAGTCATGTCAACAGATTTCAGTTCTATTTTCATTTCTATATTAAATGTGCAAAAGGTCTGATATAATTTATACTTGTTTCATTTTTTACATCACCAAAAAATGGCTATGTTAAAGGAGTAGTTCACTTTTGAAAAAACTTTTGCTGATAATTTACTCGCCCCCATGTCATCCAAGATGTCCATGTCTTTCTTTCTTCAGTCGAAAAGAAATTAAGGTTTTTGATGAAAATGTTCCAGGATTTTCTCCATATAATGCACTTCAGTGGGAACCAAATGGTTCAAGGTCCAAACGAGAGTTCCAATGCAAACTGCAAACTTGTTCAAAGGGCTTTAAACGATTCCAGACGATGAATAAGGGACTTATCAAGCGAAACGATCGTTCATTTAAAAAATAAATAACAAAGTTT